CCCCAAAACCCCAAAACCCCAAAACCCCGAGTGATAAATATGTATAAATGATGAGAAATTGTATAATTTTAATTTTTATAGTCGAGAATAATCTAAATAGTATAAGCTAAATCAATGAGCAAAATTGATTAAAAGGATGTCTTCTGGTTTATCAGAAATCACAATATTCATCTTCAGTTTATTTGATGATTAATTCTTCAGTGATTTTAATTAAACATGATGCATGGGAATTCAGCGAACTGAATGCTGCTACCGTATACAGTCTGATATATTCTTCTAAGAATATTTCTAACTTCGTAAACTCCAACAAATTTTCTATTATTAAGTTCCCTCAAGTCGATTATCATTTATTCACTTGCTATTTATTCTCGCTTGCAGTAAACCTCTATAGATTTTTTGGAATTATCGATAATATTGGTGAGATGCTATAGAATTTCCTCATTTCCTTCTAAGTACATAATATTGGCAAGAGTGCATAAGATGATGACGATCTTACCTAAGTTGAAGAAATCCAAGTGATTCTCATTTAGTTGAACGAGGGATCTTAATATATCTGAGATGTTCTGAATTTCAATGAGTCTCTTTTGAACGAGCTCAGCAATAAACTTAAAACCTAGAAGTATTTCTTGTCTTGTCATTTTTTGTTTTCTTTCTTTTTCCTCTATTTTTTGCTTTTGTTCTTCTGTTCTGCTTGCTTGATCAATTCTGTTGAGATTGATCAATTTTTCGGTATACTTAGCTTCTTATTTACTAAGTTTATCCTCGTTTTCAAGCATCATAACAACAAGTGGGGTAAAGAACTCATCCTAAAAAGCTATTACTTGATATTAGATTACATAGCTATTAAATTTTCCTTAGTGTTGTTGAATAAATGACTAATTGAGAAAAGTTAGTACATAGGTATATATCTCAACATACAAAGGTTTCGATTTCTTAATCTATATTCTCAATCTAAGTTGAAATTTGGTTATTTACTTTGTTACAAACGGTATGGGCTATGCTAAATGCCTTCTCTGAATGAATGAGCTCATCAAAATTGAAGGATTTGATCACTTTATCGAAATTTTTTATATCTATTTTATTCAGCATCCTACAGCATAATTAGGTAAGGGACATAAGTTAAGAATTTTGAAGTGTTTGCTTACAAAAGGAACTTTTAACTTGGAGTCTGTACTTTCTGAGTGCCAAATTAAAATTTTAAAACTAGAGTTGGTTGTTCAGATTGATTATTGTCTGCCTGCTGATCTGCAGCTTCGTTGCTTTATTGCTAATTGTTGTTTTCCATGGATGAGGTGATATTTTCGCTTAATGAAGTCATATTTATGTATTGATTTGATAATTAATAAGTATATTCTTTTAAATATTAATACGAATTATTATCGAAACAATAACTTCTAAACGAATTAGCAACAACAATATCTCACAGTTAATCAAATCTTTTCAATATTTCAATCTTCTGCTGCGTATTCAATCTCTCTAGGTGCTTTCAACTCTGGAGGGACTATAATATTGATGAGTTTGGTCTACCACTTCTATATTAATAAGGTTTCTGGAACAAATTTTATGTTATCATCAGCTATTTAAATTAGAGTTCATTCCTCTGATCAATTTGATATTGCTTATGAGGACTATCTCCCCTTTAATTCAGGAAAATTAAATCGTTTAGCGGGACCCTATATAAAAGGGATTCAGGTTAATAGTCCTCACGCAATACTAAATGATATCATGAGAAATAATAATGAAGTAAGTTTGATAGAATATATTCAAGGTAGTTGAAATACTTACGCGTCATCGTCCTCGCCATCTTCCTCGGCCAAACTTTGGAAGAGCTCAGGATTGATTAAGATTGATTTATTCATAGAAAGTAGTAAAGAATAGCATGCTCTAGCTCTCAAAGCTTGCATTTGAAAGTTACTATAATAAAAGAGTGTTAAAAAGTTAGCTGATTAATACAATGAATGTGGACCATATTGTGGCATTGAGAATGTAGCAAAGCTTTTCTTTGAAGAATTATTGAACGAACTCCTAAGTTACAAGAATTAGATTAAGAGATTGCATTACTTTTTGAAGCTGTTCTTGAATGAAGAACCAGCCTTCTTAGAGTAAGAATGATATCCTCGTTAAAAGAATGAATTCATCTTTAAATATAAAATTAATTATGTGGTTCTGCTTTCAAGGAAATTCAAAGCATCTCTAAAGTATAATATATTTAATTTACCAATAAGATTTTGATCAATTTCAAATAGCTTTGGTCAAAAGAAAATAAAATGGAAATATCTAAGATAAAAAAAGATTTCCCTACTAAATACAACAACTTTTAATTTGTTAGAGAGCTCGGAGCAGGTACTTATGGAAAGGTAGCACTGTATCGTAATGGGACAGAATCAAGAGCAATTAAATTCTTTAATGATAAGAATGGTCAGTGTCATTTATAAGAATCTGTAAATTTGAGATAATTATATGAGACTTTACAATATAGAGATTATTCATAATCAAATATGATACCTATTCCTAAATATTACAAGCATGGTATAATGAAAGAAGATGATTTGAGTTTCTTATATATCGAAATGGAGTTTATCTAAAATTCTATTTTGGAGCATTTCGAATAACTTAAAGAAATGAAAGATAATAAGTATGTTGCGAAAATTTGCTGATAAATGTTTGAGGCAGTTATTGATTTCCATAAGCTTGGTTTTATTCATGTAGACATAAAACCTGAGAACTTTAGATACTAAAATGGTTAGGTTTACCTTATTGATTTCGGGTCAAGTTAAAAATATATTAAGAATGGTGAATTATTATTGCCTTAAGCTAAATAAGTATCATTCAAGGGTACTCCTGGTTTTGGGTCTATATTTGCAACTTAAGGTGAAGAACCATGCCGTAGAGATGATTTAATATCTACTGCTTATAGTGTTCTATGGCTAATAAACAATGGTCTGCCTTGGATTGACAACGAGACTAGTATTATAAGCAAAGATCAAGCAGTTCTCATTCAAAATTCTAAGACAAATTTATCAAAAGAATAATTCTTCAGAAAGGATGAGTAAATCATAGTAGAACTTATCAAGTGGTTAGAAAAAATGAATTTTACAGATAATTGTGACGGACTTGAAAATTTTTTGCAATAGATAGATGATCAAGATTAGTTTAATATCGACAATCCATTTTCACTTCAAATATCTTAGCAGAAAAATTTGGTTGATTAAGGAATACAATGCTAGTAAATTTCTTTAGTTTCCCTTGAAAGCAATGTCTTTGAGATCTAAGTAAAACCCTGTACCCAAGAAGTTAAAACAATAGTAGAATCTTCACTCTTAAATTATGATCAAAAGTTGTATATAGATCAATCAAAGTTATAAATGAATTCAATGGTTATACAAAAAAATAATTAACTATAGAAGAAGTAGTTAATCTCAAACTCTCTAAACCAATAAAATTATAAAAAATCTTAGGTTCATCCTAATGATAATTCTAAATATGAAATTTAGGACTTTTCTGTAAAACCAACATCAAACAGTAATTATTAGTCATCATCAGATTAGGCTTAATTATACAAAGAATTGAGAGAGATAAAAAGTGCTTTGCTAAAAATACCAAATGAAAGATCAGAATATTGGTAGGATTAATAAATCATGAAAGAATATATAGATTCTCTTTAAAAGGATCAAATTAAAATATATAATCTAGTCAAATTAATTAATCCACATGCTTAAAACATTTTGAATGCAAAAAATCATAACGGAAGAGGATATATTTTTAAATACAAAATTGAATTATCATAAGATAAATTTCGTTCTATTTGCAGGTAACTAACTAATGTGTGGACAAATGAAACATTTCAATAAAAGGATTTCAAAGTAAACGTGAGAATAAGAGAAACTGGATTATTATTAGGACTTGAATCAGTTTCCTAAATGTTTTAAAATGGATGCTTTTATTAAACCTTCTAATTTGTAAGTAGAGATAGTCCACAGTATGCTTAATTCTTATTCTAATACTATTTCGAGATAAATTACAAAGATCATGAAATCATTTATGTCGGAAGTGACAATGTAGTCAGAAAGATGATTGATTATTAGACGAAATATTGCTACGCTTCATTTGATGCATCGTTAAAATTTAAAACTCCTGTAATGCTTTTCAATTGAAATGAAAAAAATAATTAGTTCTTATAAATAATAAGATAATTAAGCTTGAAGAGAATGAAATGATGATTAAAAATTAATTTATTTTAATGTAACTAACTTAACAGCATTTATTCTTTCTTAGGGGTTTTGGGGTTTTGGGGTTTTGGGG